TACTCTAGTAATCGCGAATTAAATTGACAAGCAATTTAATAATTTAATGCTATCATCAAGCATCATATTATAAAGATGTTAATATGTTGAAATTGTTAATAAATTTATCGCAAAAAATATTACCTCGGCCAGGACGTGAATCCGGATCTCTTGTATTCTGTACGAGCGTCCTAAGCCATTAGACCACCGAGGTCTTAATATATTCTTCGCAATAATCGGTACAATAAGGAAAATCCAGCTTCGATCGTAATAGGCATTTTAAATTTCTATTATTGATTGTGTTTCTCACATATGCGATCTAAAATAAAGATTCTTAAAATATTGTTTTTAATTTTTAATTAAAGTATTGATTTTATCTTATATTATGTGATTTTGTATTTTATATTTAACAATTAATGTATTGACAGTATAATTTCTATAACTGATAAAGATGGGAAATTCTAGGAAAAATGATATTTTTCTAGACGTTAGTACAAACATCGTGAAAATACAATAAAACATAAAAAAAAATATTATTCAACTTACTTGTGCTACTAGAATTTCTCCTACAGCACAATAGACACACATATGGCCAAATGTGTTGACAAGAATACATACTTCATATGTCAGGTGAGTAATTGATATATTATTCCCCTTTTCTATTAACTAAACGACACGTGTAAATAAGACATAATCTTTATACAATTTATTTTTGGAAGAAAATTGTATTGTGGATATTAAATATGAAAGTAAATTGCGTTAGGTGAATAATAACGTTAGATGAATATGAAACGTTGTCAAAAACATAAACATGATAAATTTTCTTTTTTTTCTAATGTATTAACACAAATTAAAAGGCGCGATAAATGTGTGAAATATTTTTAAACACTTACGTTTATTATCAGGAAACCATAACAAGCAAAAAGTATACCAAAGTATAAAAATAATACTAAGAGAATTATATTGTATGTATCATCTATAACAGCGATGGCTCTATAAAATGATATTGTATTTATCTTCGATTAAAGTTGGAAGAATATATAAGAATTAATGAATAATAGTTCTAAAAACATTTTCATATAATGGGTAAGAAACATATAGTGCTCTTTTATAATTTGATTAATGCATAATTAATTAACTCTCAGTACCCACAAAGGGTTAGCGTAACCCCCCCCCCCCCGATTTTCATAGTTCAGACGTTTTTTTCCGATCCCTTTTCACTTATTGCAAAATATCTTTTGTGCTACGACATTTTAGACTTTCTAACTAAAAAAATTTTTTTTTCAATCTTCAAACGATAGAGAGATTAAAAAAAAATTAGTTAAAATCAATGCACTACAATCTGAGATACAAGCAAAAGAAAACGCTGGGTTACAAATATCCGGTGTGGTATTTGTAACCCAGCGTTAAATATGGACTTTTTTGAGATGTGGGTACTAAGGGTTAATACATAATAATTTAATAAAATAATATGCAGAAGTCCGTATGTATAAAACATTTATTGAATACCTAAGTAGTCGAATGTGATTTATCACATTCTTTTTTAGAATGTCGTGGAAATTGATAAAGTTATCCAAATGAGTGATACGATATCTAAGAATTTCCAATTGGCCGCAAATATGAAACACCAATAATCCGAGAAAATTATCAATGCCAGTATAAGATAAGATAGCAAAGAAAATAGCAATACTCTGAATAAAGAATGTCAATTCGTATTGCGGTCTTTTTGACACGTCATAAGGATAATACGTTTGCAATGGCAACAGTTTGCCTGGATCAGTGACATTCGTCAAATATCTGATTGAGATTCCACAAATAGGCAAAACGACAACAAAGGTAAATGCTATTGTCATTGCACTATATGCGCACATAATAATTATACGCGCGGTTTGCGCTCTTTTGATCATCATGCTTCGCTCATATGCATTTTTCAGTTTTTGCCAATCCTCCGCGATCATGTTTAAAATCCATAAAATAGCTTTGAAAGTCACAAAATTGTTTAAATTTGCAAAAATCTGTTACTTATAAATAAAAAATTATTTATATGACAACATTCTCGAGTAATATTTACATCGCAGTGTGTAAAATAAGAATTCTTTTTTTCAAATTTTATAAAATAGTTATTATTCTATCATAAAATCTATTATATGTTTCATTGAAATAGGACATTACACAATAATAATTTATAATACAATACAATTTATTAGTATTTAAGACAATTTATATAAAATAAATTATATTTACCTTTTTTCTTCCACCAAAGTATTATAATTCTGACAGCACAAGTAATAGCCGGTAGAGTAAATTGCAAGTTATCAATCAATAGCATAATATTCGAATGAATTCTTATCAATGAATGTATTGAAGGAATCAGAACACCGATTATTATTATTAGGACAATAATTAAAGGGCGGAAACTATATGTTAATTTCTCTTGAATGTTGCATTTAGTTTTAGGCCAAAGCCCAATTAGTTTTAAACTGAAACGATTTATCTTCACCGCCCATTCGAAATCTATCTGTTTCAAGAAGTATTATAATGAAAAATATTATAAAAAATGTAAATAATAAAAACTAATAGAAGTATCAATTAATTATTAAATTGTATTTGCTCTATCAACCGATAATTGTGGAAATTTGCTATAAATATAGAATAGAGAACAGTTTTTAATGCACTTTGTAAATTATTATAAATTCTAATAATTAATTACTATTTAATAATAAATTATAACAACGAGAAAAAAGTTATCCGTTGTATTACATCTATCGTTAAAATTCATTATCAAAAATAAGATAAAAATTTATTACTGTTTTATGTTTTATGTTACGGTTAAATAAGTGGTATTAAAATATTGTTAAAAATAAAAAATATATATATATATATAATATAAATGTACATATAACGAAAAAACATTCACACTTCAACATTAAACATTGCAACATCTTAGCAATGTTTTTTCAACGTTTTGCATGGAAGTTATATTGAGTGTCGTAGAAGAATACAAGATACAAATGAGAACATGTTCAAATTATGTTAACGAACGCATAATCATATATGTTCATATTATATATTCTAAAATATTCTTTCTTTACGAAACAGTCCTGGTCAATTGATTACGATAACTGTAATAAAGCACCTCGATATCCCAATAAGTTTGAAGTATCCATACTGAGTGTTAAGTAGAGACTGACGGTTGCTTTTTCTTCGTGCAGCAAAGTCATTTTGTATGCAATAAAGAATACTCACTGCGTGCGGGAAATATTCTCCAAGAGAGAGACGATCACTTTGAAAGAGGAATCATTAAAAATGTACAACGGTCATAACGTGTCTACTCACTTGAGTTTCACATTCTATTAAAAAACTTGAATAACAGTTTATAGATACTTTTTACTTTTTTAGTAATCGATTGATGTCAGTCTTTTATGCTATAATGTCAAATTGTAACCAGTTATATCTACCACACTTGATAATAATGTATTGTAGTGTAAGTAACGTATTGTAATGTAGTGTATTACTAGTGTGCCTACACTTAATCGCAATAAAATTAATAAGGAAAATTATTTTGCTGCATTCTTCTTGTTATTAATAATAACTCATAGAACGTTCTAGAAACTTGTTTAGAAAGTTAGAAATTGATGACTAATAGTAAAATTTTTTTTGTAATATAAATACCACGAATATGTTTAAATGATCTCTGTTTATGAAATTTTATTTCTTGAAGGAAAAATTATTACTTTTCCATTCTCTTCATATTAAACAGAAAGGATATACATATAACTAATTAATATTTTTAGTAATGAAAATATTATATCTATAACATATTAACAGTCTTAGATTTAAAAATGAAATGGGAATTTTTTGATATAAAATTATAGTTTTAATACAAACAATTTTTATATAAATAAATTATTTTATTTTATTAAATGGAGATGATTTCGAGTGCCACCATAATATAGTTCATATGGAATAAAACTGTTCAAAACATAAGAAGTTATCATAAAAACTAAACAATTTTAGTTTGACATACTTTTTATTAAATGAATTGCTTTTAAAATATTATATAATAGTTCATTCCAAACTGAAGATTAATCTATATTACATAATATTGCATAAAATCAGTGCTAAAATAAAATTAATGCTTTAACTGGATGTTTTAACTTTAAAATTCATGAAACTATTGATATCTGTAACTATCATTATTCTTAAATTTAAATTAAATTTTCAATTTTTCTGTTACTGTTTAATATAAAACGTCATGTCGTACATAATAAAGCAATAAGATTTATTTATTCTCAAGTTTAGAAGCTACAATATTCTATTAAAAATTGCACACCGAAAAAATTTTACATTCTTCTTATTCTTTTTATCAACTTTTCATTGTGTGCAGGACGGATATATAACCAACGGATGTTCTCACAAACTGAAAAATATATATTTTAATAGTTATACAGTTAACAATATAACTTGGATTTACCATAATTATACATATTGTACTATGGTTGTACATAAATAGAACAAAATAAAAAAATCAAATTTTACATATTAAAATGTAGTACAGGTTCTATAATAATTTTTAACAAAATTTTAGTTTAAAATATTAAGATATCAATATCTTAATATTCAAGACAAAGTCAAACATTAATCTTACACTGCAAAATGTAGTCATTGTAACAGGAGACATTTTTCCAGCGGTGAGATAAATCGATTTAGAACCTCTTGTCATTAAGAGCAACAAATCTTCTATAGTTTCTGAATTTAGAGTGTACCATCTGTTGTTATATGCTGCATAATATATTTTGTTGCACTTGAAAATATTAGAAGCACTTTTAGATATCAATTGTTATGTACTTTGTACGTATTCAAATAAAAATTAGTCATTATCATATGACACTAAAACAATAAAAAATACGTTTTGTTTGATAAATCAAAATTTTGCTGTAACAACAAAAATTTGGTTGAAATATACCGAAAAAAGCTTTTGTTAAAATGTACTGAACAAATTTGTAATTTTATATAAACTAAATTGTTTAGTTGATATAAATAAATATTTTTGTTATTTACGAAACAGAAAAATAATTATGTAATAACTTGCCCCTCCCCTCACTTAATCAAATCTTAATGAATAAATTATATAATAATAGGCTATTTATGCGCTTTTAAAATCCGCAAAAATAATTTTAATCAGTTTTTTTATTTAGCTAAAAAAATTATTTTGTGGGGGGGCTGAGTAGGCTGTCAGTCAGTTCCTCACGTGTTAATAACAACTGATTTGGAAAATCAATTACACAGAATTTATATGCTCTTTATGCGCTTTCATATTCACATAGTTACAATTTTTGCGCTGCATTTCTTAAGGCACTTCCCTCTTGGAGCAAACAGTCATATTCATCCGTAAAGCGTTTAAAATTGCAAAATTACGCAGCGCAAAAATAGAAATTGCTTGGAAATGGTAGCGCATAAATTGAAGATATATTTTGCATAGTTAGATAGCGATTAATAATTTTGCAATTTTAAACGACTCAGGGATGAATATGACTGTTTGCTCTAAGAGGGAAGTGCCTTAAGGGATGCAGCACAAAAATTGAAACTATATGTGAATTGAAAGCGTATAAATAGTGCATAAATCTTGTGTATTTGATTTTCCAAATCGGTTGTTATTAACACGTGGGGGGCTGACTAACAGCCTACTCAGTCTCCTACAAAAAAAATTTTTTTTTTAGCTAAACGGAAGAAGCGCAAAACATTTTTTTTTTGCGAATTTTGTGAGCACATAAATAGCGTATTATTATATAAATTATTTATTAAGATTTCGTTAAGGGGGGGGGGG